CGATCCTTGAAGAACAATTTGGATAGTATTAGGCTGAGAATCCGAGGGGGCACATCGGACCAATTATTCCTTATAATCACGTTCCTTGTCGAGTATGATGCTATCAACCTTACTAACCAATCTCCAGCGGCAGCAGCCGCCGCCGCCATCTAATGGAATAACTTCGTCAAACAAATTTTTCAAAATAATTATAATGATAAGTTGATTATAATTCTCTCGGCAATGGGTGTACACGAGTTTATATATATATATTAGTTATAATTGCCAGTGTTTGGTATGAAAAGAAATTGTGAGGTCCAATGATTCTTAATTATATATATGATCCTAAATATTGTGTAGTGTAGGATTAATATATATATATATATATATATATATATATATATGGATACTGAAATCCCATATTTAACGGGATTTACAAAAGATTACAATGGTGATTAGTGTCCTAATTACGTTAGGAGTTATCATTCGTTTTGCCTATATATATGTATATATGGTCGTTAATTAATCAAACTATTTCGTATAGAATAGCAGCCAAAGCAAATTCTTTTTTTTTTGGTACAGGGACCTTCCGGTTTCGGATCCACAAGGAGTGGCACAAATTCTGAATCAATATAATGGGTGAAAGTAGTGAGAAAACATTAACAACTTCCTTTAGCAGAGTATCAGTTAGCAGGGAATCCCGTTTTCCCCTCGATGATGATGATGATGATGATCAGGCGGGTCATCCTCGGCTGCTCGTATCTCATGGCCCATACCTCAAAAAGCACGCGCTCTACAACATATCCAAAAACCAACACGTGGACTTGGACGTACCCGAGCTAGCCTCGAAGGAGGTGTTCTTCACCTCGTACGGCAACTGGGTCGTCCTCATCGACTTAATCATCGATTCACTACGCCCCGTACAAACTTGTGGTTTTTGTGTCCTTAACATAACATCCGGCGAGAAGATTCGTATCCCGCACAAGTGGCACGGCAGAGTTTTCCAGTGCATCCTGTCCGGGCCCCCGACCGAGCCCGACTGCCACCTCATCATCCTCCCGGAGCCTAGAGTTAACCATCTCTATTACTGCCGGTTGGACGATGGCCACTTCATTGAGGCACGGTGGAATTTCGTGTACAACTACAATACCAAAATTACCGCGCCGACTGCTGCTAGTTTTGGCGGGAAAACCTATTTGTGGAAGGGAGACAGTTTGTTCGAGTTAGTGTTTCGTGGCGATCGGAAGCTAGATTTTGTCCCGCTCGTGCATGTGGCTGTGGCGGATGAGCTCTTCAGGTGGCCGGTGAAAGCCCGGCGCGTCGAGGACTTCATAGTCCCGGTGGAATATGGGGAGATACTTGTGGTTCGAGCGGTCTTCGATAGGTACACGGACTTGTTCGAAAACGTGGCGTATTTCAAGGTTTTCCGCATAATTATGGGGAATGGGAATAAGGAGTGTGTGGAGGAGCTGACGAGCATAGGAAATCGTGCCCTTTTCTTGGGGAAGCACGGGAGCACGGCATGTTTTGCAGACGGGTCCTCATCAGGGGTTAGAAGGAACTCGATATATTATTATTGGGACAATCAGGATATATTTGTGTATGATTTCGAGGACCGGAGCACGACACCACTCAGACCGTGCCCGCCGGTTAGGAGTGGAATATTCTCTTTGTGTTGGGTGTGATATATCAATGCTTTCGAGTTAAAGAAGTGTTCTTTCTTGGGATTCAATGTTGTTTCTTGTTCTGCTTCCATCTTTCAAAGCGTTTATAGTGAACACTTTTTACAATGCCAAGATTAGCTCATAAACACCACTTACATAAGACTCTAAAGTGAGCTCCAAAATATTAATTTGTTCTTTGCAGGTTGTTGCCGAGGAGAAATTCGAGGCATGCAGCTCGGCTTATCAGTCTTTGTGTGATAAACTCGGTTTCGATTAGCTCCCGTCTTTTTCTTCTTTTTTTTTTCGACATGATGGTTTTGTAGGAGAAAAGTTTGATCAAATCTGTTCACATGTTCAGTTGCTGTAGGAAATTTGTTTTAATAGATGAGCTTAATGCTGCAATTTTCATTATTGCAGCTTTTAAATTTCTATTGAAGTTACTTGTGCATTTGAGAATTTAAAGTGACTTTTTGCTCTGTTTTTGCACTGTATGGCTCTATTGAAGTGACTTGTGCATTATTGGAGTAACTCAAGAATTGTAGAGAGATCTACTCGGTGGGGAACAATATTTTGTGAACATATATACTTATAAGCTGAAATGTCGTACTTTAAAAAACAACATAAATAAAAATCACGATAACTAAACTCGCGCGACGCCCCGATCGCGAACCCGCACCGTCGAATGCTATCCCAGTCGACACTGTTGGCCTCTGGAAACCCGCATCGGCCCAGGCGCAAATCACGACAACTAAACTCGTTGGAGCCGTTGTCTTTGCGTTGAACCTCACAACCCCTGAAGCGCGAAACCCTTATCTCAACATCACGCATCGCCACCCTAGTAGTCTCCGTAACCCTCGACCCCGCAATGCGTCGCGTGACCCCTGACGTCCTCGAAATCCATGTCTGGTCACCGCTGCTCGCGACAGTGGGTATCGTCGGACTCATCGGCCTCCTACTGGGCTGGACGACCACAAAATAGGTCGAAAATTGGTGGACCATCGTAGAGACCACCAGCGTTGAGTCATCGAACTTCTTGGTGAACAACGCACGTGACCCCCCGACCGTGAACCCCACCATCGAATGCTATCCCAGTCGACACCGTCGGCCTCCCGAAACCCGCATTGCCCAGACGCAAATCACGACGACTGAACTCGTTGAAGCCGTTGTTTTTGCGTCGAACCTCACAACCCCTGAAGCTGGCGAAGCCCTCATCTCAACATCCCGCATCGCCACCCTGGTAGTCTATAACCCTCGACCCCATGATGCGTCGCGTGACCCTCGATGCCCTCGAAATCCATGTCTAGTCACTGCTGCTCGCAACAACGGGTATCGCCGGACTCATCGGCCTCCTACCGGGCTGGACGACCACCAAACGAGTTGATGCCGGACCATGTACATTTGTCGTCTTCTGCGCTGTACAGAGGTGGTGGGGCTGTTGGCGGGGCACCCCGCCAAATCCTCGTTCGCCAAGCCCACCTCTGAAACCCCATGACTGCCCCAGTCCCCAGCCATGTCGCGGTTTGTCTGCTCGCCACGAACCATGGTATGGAGACATAGACTTATGTCCCCAATCTTCGCGGACAAATCTGCAATCCGAAAGCGTGCGAGTGATAAAAGATAACAGAGATATATATTAAAATACGATATTCTTATTCAAAATCAATGGCCTAACATCCAAGAGAAGAAGTCCTTTAAATAAAGCTCCTACAACTTTAATAATAACTTGTCGACTAAGCAAGCTAATAAATATTTATTCTCTTACTAATTAAATACTAAATATAAAAGGAATAATAATAAATGTAAATGAAAATAAATACCTAAATCGATGATGCATGCTATACGATATCTCGTCTCCATTATTAAAGATCGGTCTCAAGGCCTTAATGAGCTGAGCTTGAGATCAATTTCTAGTTCGTAATAAATCAATTCAAGTAATAAATAAGTCAAAAAATATAAACGTTCAAATAAACTAAGCATATAAAAATACATTGTCAAATATATAAAATACACACATTTTTACCAATCAAATCTCTCGAGACTTAAATTGTCACTTGTCCTCAAGCAACTTAGAACTAAGAGCATATAGATAGATCGAAACAAGTACGTTGGATATTTGTTGAAGACCTCACAAATTCCCACATAAGACATAGGTAAAACAACTCGAACTAATTTATCCGAACTCAAGATGAAATTCTATACAATCATTTCAAGTATCAATTATAGTGACCACCATGATTCGTAAATCTTTAAAATAAAAGCATCGATCAATGTAACTAATGACATCCTCTCTTTGCCGATGAGCTAGTTCTCTTCTGGGTTGAGCCAATATTTAAATATCTCGTTTCCTTCTTTTCTTTTCTTTTTTTTTCTTTTTTGCTTGTGAGGTATGAAATGACAATCACAACCCATTGGTTTTAGCTTTTCGTGCTTGTTTCATTACAAAATTATTGAATCTATGCACTAGAATCCCCACAGACTTGTAGTTGTTGCAGAACTCCATTTTTTCTTGCTCTATTTTTTCTCCATCTTCATTATTCCATTATTTTTCAGCTACAAGACATTAAACATCGGCTTTCAATATCGAGTCCCCAAAACATCATCGAATCATACATTAAGAGTGTGTATTGATCCATCGGTTCGACTATTACATGGTGTTCAGGGTAGTGTGAATTTTTTCACATGTATTGTTAGTATTCTTTTTTAAATCTATCAATTGACTTAGTTTAATAGTGAAATGCCAAATTTGCATATAACTGGAAAAAATGTAATTTTGATGATCATATAATTAGTCATGGACTAATAAATATGATAAGTTGATAACAGTGAGGAAAAACAAAAAAGCATAGATAAAATAAGTTCGTCCAAAATTTCACTGTTTCAATAGTAGCACGTAAAAATCGTGCACCCCTAATTGTAGTATAGCGGGAACATTCTTTATGCATTGCTATTTGGCCCCATATGGCAGTACTCTCTCAGTCTCTGGCGAAAACTCGTTTGTCATGCACAGAAAATGCTCTGCACATGTACATACAATCTCTCTCTCTCTCTCTCTCTCTCTCTCTCTCTCTCTCTCTCTCTCTCTCTCTCTCTCTCTCTCTCTCCATAGGCTCCATATATCTATATACATTCACGAAACTTCTGAGTTGAATTTTGGTGTTGGCCGTCAGATTTCACCAGCAACCAAATCAAGATCAAGATGTTCTATTCTCACCAGCTGCTAGCTCGCAAAGCTCCTGTCGGCAAATATGGTAGAAATTCGACGTCCTTTCTTCAAATTTTGCCCTTTTGAAACATTTAAGTTGTGTTGCTTATATAAAATCACGATTTAAGCCATATTGGGAGTTGTTTGGACCTCTCTGAAGCATGAACGTGCGAAATATGATTCGTGCTCCTTTTTTATTTTAATCCTTTATTTTTTTTATTAATTGTTTTTTCTGGAGTTTGATAAATGTTGCTTGTATTGTGCGTGCTCTGAGGTGAATCAGTGGCTTTCTATTTTATCTTAGCTTCTGTAGTACTTTACTCTGTTTTTTCCTTTATGGTAAATTGAAGCATTTCGAACTCTAGGAATTGAATTTCACACAAAAGTGCCTGTCTTAACGGGAAAAAATATCATCGATGTTGATATGAGTTCTATTTTTCGTTTGAAGGATTTATACAATAAGTTCAAGATCGTGAAGTGAGATTCTAGTTCTCTGTGTGTGTGTGTGCGCGCGCATGGGTGCGTTTGAATCCACAATATAAGCTGAAAGCTTACATTATCTGGTAGTATTTCTCGAAAACCCATTGAGAAGCCTTCAGCTAAGATGACCCTCAGAACTTTCAAGAATTCTCATGGGTATTGCTATTGGAACTCGGTTTGTGTTATTTGGACTGTTCACTGAATCCGAAATTCAATGTTTCACTGAATGTTATTCCAGGTGGGGTTGTGACGCAGACGAAAGCACAACGAGAGAAGCAAAGATAATCGAACGATAAAAGTTTTTATTTTTTCTTCAATCTCCCTGCTACTGCTGGCATACATCGGTTTTAAAGAAAAAGAGCAAGAGTCCTACTACATTCAAACACTCCCAAAGTAATAAGAGATAAGTAGGAAAATAAAATAAATAGCTACTTATTTATTAAAAATAAAAGAAGAGATATTTATAATATAAATAATCCCAAAATAGCTTAGACGAGAGGCGCCAAACGATCATGTCGATCAAGAAATGCGAGTGCAATCTCGTCCTCATCATCCTCCCCCGGTTGGGAAGGATTCGCCCTCGAATGTTGCAAATCTCGTCCTCAGAATTGTCCCCAAGGAAAGGTACTAGATGTTTGACGTTGAAAACATCGGATGTACGGACATGCGGCGGCAAACGGAGGTGATACGCATTCGGATTAATCTTCTCAACAATCTCGACGGGGCCAATTTTTCGAGCAGATAATTTATTATACTCATGAGCCGAAAAACGGTCCTTAGTCAAGACTGCCCACACAAAATCGCCAACCTCGAACTCCACATGGCGGCGGCGTGCTTCGGCCTTCCGCTTGTAAGCTGCGATGGAGGCCTCCAA